AAACGCGCAAATAGGGGTCAAAACACTACGGAAGTGTAAAAATAGGTTTTAATACAGTAATACTTTTTGGGGGAAAAGTTTACCCGCAATACATTTTTTAAGAAAAAAAATATTATCAGCAATAAAAATCTTATTGGTATTAAATAACCATGCCATAAACCAAACCAGACCAAACCAAACCAAACCAAACCAAACCCCATTTCATACAAGTTTTGTTAAAAAGCCAACAAGGAAAGTAAGATAAAGAAATAATCGCAGTACTTTGTCAGTCGTTTTAACGAAACTTGCACCGACACATACGCACAAGCACATGTATATATTTGAAGAAATTGCAAGACAGTATCTCATATCCTATATATATATATATATATATATATATATATATATATATATATATATATATATATATATATATATATTCCCAAGAGGATATAATCAACGTAGAGCTCTATATCAGAGATAGAGCAAGAATATAAAAGGCTCGAATACTAAAATTTCATAGTTATAATTTATTTCATTGGGTTCATAATAACGACCCAACTTCTCAGACCTACAGATTCAAAGATATATATATATATATATATATATATATATATATATATATATATATATATATATATATATGTGTGTGTGTGTGTGTGTGTGTGTGTGTGTGTAGAGATTGTGTATTTAGGCAGCAATCCCTCTTTTATATAAGTTTCATTAAAGAGGACTGACAAGGTACTCCGATTAAACTTTTCAATCAATTTTTCTTGTGTTCGTATAAATGTTTGTCCGGACATAAAGTGTATAAAAACTGTCTGAATATTCTCTATATCCGAGTGATTTCGGTTAATCTTTTAGACATTGTAATGGATGTTTTTTTATTCTTTTTTTTAATTTTTAACTGAATGTGTAGATTTTTATATATGTGTATGTAGAATGATGGAAATGTTATCTTTTTTTATTTTCCAAACACAATCAGCACATTGTGGACGTCTTGGTAGTTAATATTATTGCGTATTGGCTTTTTATTTTTATTATTAATGCTTCCATTATTTTCACTCATTTTTACATGTGTATGACGCTATTATATTTGTATTTTCTACGGATATGTTGCAAATGGAGTTTCCATCTGTTTTTAAATGAGTCAGGGAGATTTACCGTGAATCTTCTTGATATACATGTAGTGGTATGTCTAATATCATTATTCATAAATTTGGTTAGGACATGTGAATTTACAAATAATATTAGTTTTCTGTAACTTGGATCTTGCAGATGAGTTGTTGCTGTTGACGATAAGGTTAGATGCTTTCATTTTTTTATAGTTGATAATTCATTTATTTTTTCTTGTTTTGGTTGACTGGTGTAGTGTATTTCTTTATAATGTTTCTAAGGGAAAATTCATCCTGCTTATAGTTAACGTGTATTTGATTTTTAACGTGTATTTGATTTGATTTTTATAGAAACTATTAATGTCGTTGTGTTTATCTGTATGTTCAGTGTTGCTATTTGTTACTTTAGAAAGAAATAGTCTAATTTGGTCATCTATGGGAGAAGGCACGGTGGATTAATGGGTAGCGGTCCGGATTGAGGAATCGGAGAGCCGAGTTTGAATTCTAGTCGGATCCTTACGTGCTAATAACCTTGGGAAAGGTATGAATCCTCTTCTCTCCCCAGCTATGAGTACAGACCGGGTTCTATAGCCTCGGATGACAGCTGGTCTACCGCAGAAAGAAATGGCAACTTACTGCAAGGAAAAAAAATCTGCCACTTCATTCATGTATCGAAAGTGATGACTGATGAGGTAGTTCGGAAAACCATTACACGTTTCTTGAGTTCTTTAAAGAAAGAGAGGATCAATTCTCGTACGGAAACTTTTATAACAGCTATTTTATATCTAAGTGGACATTCACTCGTAAAATTAAAGTGGCAAATGTGTCTACTTGTGGTTTTTTTTGTGTCACGAAGTGGTGAATGTGTTATTACTACAAGAACTTCTTAAAATGGGAGTTTACTTTTTTTACTAAGTTCGTAGGTGAAATTAAGGATAGATTTTTTTCAAATCTAATGTTGAGATTATCGATTTCTTTATTGTCTTCAGCTAAAATAAAAATATCAACTACATAGTAAACATATTTTACGTTTATATTTTTAGTAACTTTTATTTTGACATGTAGTAATTAGAGAAGCAACAGTCCGAATAGATTTCAGATACTAATATTGTTAATTTGAATATAAATATTGCTATTATGAAGGGGACACTATTTGTGTAGGCGTGCAGTAATTTTCTGACAATATTCGGTTTGATGTGTGAAGGTGAAATCGTGTTATGTTTATACACAGTGTTACAGATTATATTGATTATATGTGAATAAATTTTCTATATCAAGTAACGCCAAAATGTCTTGGCTTAGTTGTGTGGTTTAAAGATTTGGAGAAGTTTATGAGTCGATGTGATACTATAATTGGGAGTTAGATATGGGGTAATAATATCACTGATGAGTTTTGATAAAAATATATATATATATATATACTAAGGAGGTGTTGAGATCTTTGAAATGATGGGTCGTATTGGGTGCCTGGATTTATGTATTTTAACGTTTCCGTATCGGTATACTATTTGGTAATCTTCAATTACTTCGTTGATTGCTTTTCAAGAATTCTATGTCAGCATTCATATATCGTTGATATATTCATTTCGACTGCTTTGATCTCCTGCCATCTGCAGCCCGGATTTATATATATATATATATATATATATATATATATATATATATATATATATATATATAAAAACACAGAAAGTAACTTTGTGTCTGTGGACGTAGAATTTATCGCTGCATAGTTACTGTCATTTCTACACCTGAACTGATCTTAATACTCTGTAATTCAGCCTTCCAGTATGGAATAAGCATCCCCATAAATATAACGAATTTTATGCAGTATTGCAATATATATATATATATATATATATATATATATATATATATATATATATATATATATATATGTGTGTGTGTGTGTGTGTGTGTATGAGTATGTGTGTGTTTGATTGTGTGTGTCAATTACTCTTTCATTCTCTCTTTCTTTCTCTCTCTCTCTCTATATATATATATATATATATATATATATATATGTGTGTGTGTGTGTGTGAGTGTGTATGAGTATGTGTGTGTGCTTGAGTGTGTGTGTCAATTACTCTTTCATTCTCTCTTTCTTTCTCTCTCTCTCTCTCTCTATATATATATATATATATTGCAGTATTGCAATATATATATATATGTGTGTGTGTGTGTGTGTGTGTATGAATATGTGTGTGTTTTTGTGTGTGTGCCAATTACTCTTTCATTCTCTCTTTCTTTCTCTCTCTCCCTCTTCCTCTCTCTCTCTCTCTCTCTCTCTCTATATCTATATATATATATATATATATATATATATACTTATATATATATATGTTGTGTACATTTAAGCAGCATATTTTCATTTAAAAAATGACTTCCTTATACTGGAAAAAAAAAGAATAGGTGAACTTTGAACTTTGAAATCTAGAACGCTGCATAAACAGTAAAAACACACACAAAAAACGAACAGTTGAAATGTTTCAAATTCACAAAAACACATATACATACTCACAGACAACTTAAGCCCTTGAAGATGGTCTCAGATGACATTGAAAGTACTTGGGAAAATAAAAACTATTCGAAAGAAAAATTTTGTTATTTTTCTTACTCTAAGTATTTTCTAAGTCTGCCAAAAAATTAATCCGCGAACTTAAAATGATCACTAAACGAAAACTAATCGACATCATATGTCTAAATTATTTAACCAAAATTGTTTGAATATATATATATATATATATATATATGTCTGTATGTATGTGTGTGTCTGTGATACTGACAGAAAATAGAAGTTCTACATGCTGAATATATGCTTCAAGTAATTGTGGTCAGCATTTTACTGGTTTGACCAGTAATCTATTTGACACGTTTGTAATTAACTGGCGTATAGGCTTTCATTATTATGATTAAAAACAATTTTCTTAGAAAAAAAAAAAACATTTTAATTAAACGAAACTAAACAATCTTTGGGGTTTAACATGCGTTGTTTCTTCACATAGCGACGGTGTAACGCGCTGATACAAGCATTCCATGTTTTTTTCTTAAATGTTTTGCAATAGACGGAGCATTCTCGAGTGAAATACAAAATATTACTCCCCTTCACACACACAAGCATGTTGACACCCGTGCAGCTCCTGTCTCAAATATACAAACAGTTATATGTGGAAAAAGACAGGAAAAAAGAGACACAGAAATTAGATAAAATTTAAACAACTGAATTAACATAGCTAAAATTTAGTTCGATAGGAATTTTAAAAAGAAAGTACACATACAGGCAGTCGAATAGACAGACGCTTCATTATAATTCTGTCAGTTTTGCAAAGTAGCGTTTTGATCTATGCTTTTTTATGAAATTACGAACATATGACATTGAAACAGATTTCTCGTCCGACCATCAAAGTTAAGCAGGGTTGAGCCTGGTCGTTACTCAGATGGGTGACTGCTCGGGAAAGCCAGGTGCTCCAAGTTACATGACATGCCTCGCAAGCCAGTGACAGATATAAACTCGCTACTTATATCTGGTTGGAACGAAAGCTCTATTCGATGTTATCGTGTATATTACAAATGAAGATACTCGAGTTTATAGAAATAGAAACATCCATTGCTTTCTAGAACCCGATTACATTTGGTCAACAAGTTCATAGATGCCACGTTCGTAAAACTCTCTACGTCTTGATGGAAATTACGCGATCAACTCAGGTTCAAACTCTTTTCTTTATGTCAACCATACGTTATCCAAATGGTTCTGCAAGCACTTAAGCATGTGATAATCAGACGGGGTATGGTCGATAGAGCCTGGAGGAGGAATCAATTTTTCCAAATCGAGCTTTTCTAAGAGATTTTTAGAATGGGCACAGGCATTATAACGATGAAGGAACAATCCCTTTCTGTTAACTAAAGATGGACAGTTTCTGTCCAAAGCTGTTTTCAAACGGAGTAGTTCGCGGCAGTAGTGATCAGCGTTGATTGATTATTCTCATAATGGATGATTCCTTGAACATCTCACCATACACTCAGCATAATCTCGGGTCTGTCTCCTCGGTTGATCTACTGATAACAGTACTTAACATTATGGTCAAGAACCTATATTGGCAGCAAACAGCATGCATGCGCATAGGGAACGAGTTCAGTGAATATACAAATATAGAAAGAGGCGTAAGGCAAGGATGCGTCTTCTCACCTGACCTGTTCAACCTATACAGCAAGGCAATTCTGAGAGAATTTGAAACCCTACCTGGAGTTAGCATTAGCAGCCACAACCTTAACAACATAAGATATGCAGATGACACAGTACTGATAGAAGACACGGAAAAGAAATTAGAATAATCTCTTACAGAAGGTAGCGACGGAGAGTGTGAAGAAAGGACTTAGCATAAACTACAAGAAGACAGAATGCATGGTCATCAGTAAGAGGATGAGCCCAAAATGCAATTTGAAGATCGGGAACACTAGAATCAAGCAGACGTGGAAGTTTAAATATCTGGGAAGCTTTTTGACAGAGGATGGTAAGTGCGACACTGAGATCAGTAGACGTATTGGAATGGCCAAGGACGCATTTCAAAAGCTAAGCACAGTATTGCGAGACAGGAGGATTTCTTTGATAACAAAGAAAAGAATACTGAACTCTTACGTGACATCTGTCCTTCCTTACGGCATCGAATGTTGGACGATTTCCTCAATGATGAAGAAGAGACTCGAGACAACAGAGATACAGAAGGATTCTAAGGATGTCATGGACCGAGCATGTGAACAACGGTGAGAGGATGCAAACAAGGAGGAGGCATATGCATAACATCATGAAGAAGCAACCGAAGTTTCTGAGACACATAATGAGAAAGGAGGGCCTGGAGAATCTGATACTCACGGGTCGAATAGAGGGAAAGAGAGACAAGGGAAAACAACGCGTGACATACCTGGCGAGCTTAAGCAAGTGGATGACAGAACGTTGGGAAGGAATCAGAAGGAAGGAACTTGTTGAGAGCTGCAAGGGATAGAGTGAGGTGGAGAGCCACGATCGCCTACGTCCTGAAAAGACATGACACATAAAAAGAAAAAAAAGAAAAGGATCCATTTCTCATCACCAGTAATAAGCCGGTCTAAAAGGGGCACTTGAAGTTGTCGTGCAAGCAATGACTCAAAACGACGTGTTGTTGGGTGATTTTCTGATCGTTCGGGACCCATTTTGTAAATACTTATTGACAAACCGCATATCAGCTTCGAATGAAAAATTCTGTCCGATTAAATCGTGTATTTTACAAATGAAGATACTAATGCGTATAGAAATATTTAATCATCAATATAAATTCTATTGTTTCTTAGAACTTGATTACATCTGTCGACAAATTTATAGATGCCATGTTTTCATGAAAAATTCGAAACCAACATATGTTCAGTCTCTTCTTTTGATGTCAACTATGAGCCAGCCAAATGGTTCTGAACGCCCCTCAAGGAATCAACCGTAATTGGGATCATCGAGTCAATGCGAACGACCTTTCCATAACTGCATAATATGTGCTTCGTCAAAGATACATACAGTCAGTTTTGAATTCAGGGTTTTCCTAGACCAGTTGCTACCCAAGACTAAAGAATCCAGCCTGTCCTGTGATTTATCCATAGCTGGCAGGGGAAGAAGAGATGGATTCATACTTTTCCCAAGGGTATTAGCACGTATGTAAATGTAAATGAACTGGACTGGAATATTGAACTCGGCTCTCCGATTCCTTAATCCGAGTCGCTATCCAGTACTTGATTAATCAGCAAGGTCGAGACAATATGGAGGATTGTTGTGGTAGGATCCACCTAATTTGCATAGTGGAGTACCGACCATATAAATATGGTTGGTACCGGGAAGAGAGGAGAGGAATCAAGAGATTCAATCCAGAGACTCTGCCCGACTGCGACTAAGTCAACACTTTCTCCAGGAACGGTCTTCCCAGGAATATACAAAAGACTATATATAAATATTGTGTACACTTTCTTGTTTCAATACATTTTGTTCTAAGTACATTTTGTGTTGCATTATTATTCCATGCATTAGTCAAGTTTCAACAAGGATGAAGCAATTTTTACCAACCGATCTCCTCTGAGAGATCTTTAGTCAATTTTCCAGTGTGAAACGGGCATTACCGTGATGGATGTTGACTCCATTTCTGTTGACTAAGGATGGACATTTTCTGGCTAAATTAGTTTTCAAACAATGAAGTTCTTGGCAGTAGATATCAGCGTTGATTGTTTGATTATTGTCTAACATTTCATAATGGATGATTCCTTGAATATCCCATCATGCACTCAAGACGATCTTCTTTAGATGAAGTTCTCCCGGTCTTTGAGCAGCTCTGTTTCCTCGACTCATTCACTGATGACGACGCATAACACTACATTAAAGGAGCCATTTCTCACTTGAAGTTATGTAATAAATGGCTTGCAACAATCAGCACATTGTTAGCAATTCTTTGGAAACAGAACCCGTGGGATCAATTTTCCAAACACTGAAAGCTTTTCAATCCGTTTAAATTCGTGTAGGGCAGTAAACATTCGCCGTAAACATTTTTAACGTAGGAAAACTCGCTTAAGGAATTTCCGCCGTTAGAAGCTTTGCCATGTAGGATTTTTGCCGTAAAACAATTTCGCCGCATTTTTTTCTCGATACCCTTATCTTGAGCGTCCGTTTTAGAGTAATAGGTATTTATAGTGAATTTAAATCAGTTTATGTTTGCAAATAATTTGTGTAAATTTCAAAAGAATTACTGAGAGTTTGAAAGGGTCATCTTTCTTTGATCAGATATTTTATATTGAAATTGGTTGCGTATTCAAGTTGTTTGAAATAATATATATTGCTTGAGTGAAACTTATTGGCAGACTGATATTATGTTAACAGAAAGTTTAACGGTAAGTCTGGAATATGAAATTGTGTGACGTAGATTCTGGTGTCAAGTTGAAGATTTTGCGCTCTTCAATGACGAGGATGAATGATGTTAGATTTTAATCCTATAACTTCGTTTATTACAATGTTTAAATCGAAGTAACAATTGTATGAGCCGGATATACTTGACAACAAGGTACTTTGCATATTAAAAAAACATGCAGCAAAATTGTCTTACGGCAAAAACCCTATACAGCAAAGTTTTATACGGTTTCTTTTACCCATAGGACTGTGCCCCCACGAGCCACGACTACTATCCCCAAGTGGCTCCATCCAGAGCATTAGAAGCCGGTTCAAGTAACTGTTCAGGTTTCAGTTCTAGGTAGTGGATGCTTACCGATGAAAATATCGAACGAAACGGCCGTCTAGTGCTTTCTGCATTCTGTTGAAGTTTCTTCTAGACTCGATGAATTACTTAAGCCTAGTTAGCTCAAATCTTTCTAATTTCTATCACTTATACACACACACACACACACACAAACACACACACACGCATATATATATATATATATATATATATATATATATATATATATATATACACTGGTAATCATTATACTAGTGAAGGAAGGCAAGAATAAATGCGTAAACATCAATTTCAAGAAGACAATGTATGGTCGTCAGCAAAAGGAACAGCCCAACATGCAAATTACGAACTGGAGCTACCAAAGTCAAGCAAATATAACAATTTTAATATCTGGAAAGTGTTTTAACAGAGGACAAAAAGTGTAACACCGATATACGAAGGTGCATTGGTATATATATGTCATCAGAAATCCGAAGGTGCATTGGTATAGCCAAATATGCCATCCAAAAGCTAAGCAAAGTATTAAGAAACATGAAAATTTCGTTAGAAACAAAGAAAACTACTGAACTGATTCGTAATGTCATTCCTCCTATGTGGCAAAGAATGCTGAACAATCCCGACACAGATGAAGAAGAGACTTGAAACAAAAGATCTGTGGTTCTACAGGAGGATGCTGAGAATATCATGGACTGAACATTGAGCAACGACGGAGTTAACACTTATACTTAACATAAAAAAGAGACAGTTAAGTAGAGCATATAATAAGGAAAGAGGACTTGGAAAATTTGCCACTCACGGGGCTCATTGAAAGCAAGAGGGGGGGAAGAAGGCAAGCGCATAATCTACCCAACGAGCTTGCGTAAATGGATGACAGAACAGGCTTTAGGAAAGATGGTATAAAGACCCAAAAATATTAAGATTCGCAAAGAACGGGAAATTGTGGAGAGCCATGATTGCTGACATCCTGAACGATCATTGTACACACTAAACTAATTATAGTTGGTTCTAATCTCCGACAAGCCGAATTTAATCTTTCTTGTAAGATTAATCTGTAAAATGTGTAAAACGTGTAAAAATATACCGAACAAGGCACTCAACACTACGCCTGAATCCCATTAGTCTTTTAACCTAATAATTAACCACCATCCAGCCATCATACCAAGTGCCCATTAACAGCAAACCAAACACTAAAGCTGTACGTTAGGCTATCACACTTCACACCTATCGGGGTCCAATAAAGCCGTTGCCTCAAACCTCCATACCATCACATCTCAGGTGAATAATTGCGACCTTTGTTAAGGCTGCTCACTTACCATCCGTCATACTTGCGAGGCCATTCATTCTTACGCTCGGCCTCCGTTCAGCGTTCTGTTTCCCCACCACCACCGCTACCGAACAACTATAGTCACGTGGTGGTGTAACGAACGCCTGATTAGCTGTTGCCCAGGCACGCGTTCTCGGTCTTCGAGACGAGGCGTTCGACGATTGCCTGTTTCTTTAAGATAGTCGTACAGTTGCGCCCTCGCACCAAAGACTTTACCTCTTTTTCACTCAGGACTTTTTTCTTCTTTTTTTTTTTTTATTGTTTCTTTTCTTTGACTTACTGCTTGTTCTTTCTAGGTGCATATTAGATTTCACGATTATGTCTTACGCAGCCAAGATCGTAACTTGTAGTCATTTGTATTCTTTGCTTATATTTTCTTTCTTTCTTTCTTAATTTCTTTCTTTCTTTCTTTCTTTCTTTCTTTTCCATTGCTTTTCCCATTCCCGTTGCTTTCTTTCTTTCTCTCTTTGACTTCATATGCTTTTTGCATTCCCTTATCTTTCTCCTCTTTATTTTTTCACTTGCTATGCTTTTCGCATTCCTATTTCTTTCTTTCTTTATTTATTTTGGCATTCGCTGTTTCCTTTTCTTTCTTTCTTTCTTTCTTTCTTTCTTTCTTTCTTTCTTTCTTTCTTTCTTTCTGTCTTTCTTTCACTTCCTATATTTTCGCTTTCCTTTTCTTTCTTTCTTTTTTGACTTCATAAAACTTTTACATTCCCTAATCTTTCTTCCTTTCTTTATATTTTCTTTCTCTTCTATGCTTTACGCATTTCTCTTTCTTTCTTTCTTTCTTTCTTTCTTTCTTTCTTTCTTTCTTTATTTATTTATTTTGCCTTTCGCTGTTTTCTATTCTTTTTCTTTTATTTTTTATTTTCCTCTCTGAATTCCTTGTCTTTTTCGTTTCTTTCTTTTTCTTATTTCTATTTTTTCTCTGTATTTTAATTGATTTTTTTTTTTCTTTTATCAATAATTTCTACTGTTCACCTTTCTCTTTCCGTAATAATTTGCCATCGTTGTATCTATATTATTCGCTTGTGACATTTTTCTCTCGATATCCAATTGTTTTTATCTAATATTGTTTTCTATGAAAGTTTTCCGTTTGTTTTTCTCATTTTTTTCTCCACCCTTGATTTTCTCTTCCTGTTTGGTAATCAGTTTTTTATTTATTTCTCTTGCCTCGGTCGTGTTCTTTGTATTATTTGTATGCACATATATTTTTATCTTCATTCAACTAAAAGAAAGAAAAGCCATATTTTTTACAGTACTCACCACCAGAATAATATTCATCAAAAATAAGAGATGTGGTTAAAACAACAGTAACAACAACAAAAACAATTATAACAATAATAATAACTACATACTTTAAACATATATATATATATATATATATATATATATATATATATATATATATTTAATTAATGCAGTTATTATTATTATAATATATATATATGATATAATATATAATATATATATATCTTATCTTCTTAATCACTGTGCTTTTTATTGTTTTCTCTCCTTAAGTGTGTTTTCTTATATTCTCCAACTTCCAGTAACTCCTTGCAAATAAGTTGGTTTATTGACTTTACTTGGAGTGAAATGATTAACATATATATATATATATATATATATATATATATATATATATATATATATATATATATATATATATATATATATTTATATATATATATATATATATGAAGATATATATAGTTTTAAGGTGTGCTATATTAATGGGATAAAGTGCTCAATATCAAAGATGGAGCGTATGTAAATATAAAAGTGAATATTGAAGTCAACACTCAGAGGCGACAGACTGTTTCATGCTAGACGCAATATGTTCACTTATATATATATATATATATATATATATATATATATATATATATATATATATGTGTGTGTGTGTGTGTGTGTGTGTGTGTATATATGACACTTTTACTTCAATAGTAAGATTACAAAATCAACAGTTGATCAGAATATATGACAGAACAAAAAACAAAAAACAAATATGATACAGATATGATAAGTCTTTGAAGCATTTCCATATAAATATAGTGATTCTTTTAAAAAATAGCAAGCCATCTGTTATCAATTAATTTGTTAATTTTTATTTAATTTCAGATGGTTCAATTTCCATCAGGGTTGCTTTAATTGCTTTATGTGATTTACATAATAACTTAAGACGGGATTTACAGTAAATTTTAAACAACACACACACACACACACACACACACACACACACACACACACACATATATATATATATATTAATCGTAGCGTTAAATTATACCTATTTCTATTTTTCCTGTTTTATTCCATTTTTTATACTTATTTTGTTTGCATAAACGCAGCTACAAAATCACACACACACACACACACACACATACATATATATATATTAGTTTTATTCCTTTCAAGTTCATGAATTAATACTAAAATTAAAAAAAACAATAATTGAAAAAAATGTTAATGTTTTTAAAAAATCAAATAAGTTACGTCCCTTGCATGCAGGTAAAAAATATTTTTAAGGTGTTAACGCATGACGCAACCATAGATATGCAATCCCTGAAGATGGTTTCAGTTAAGATTGAAAGTACATGGGAAAATAATAATTATTTGAAAGATCTTTGAATTTTTCTTGATCAAATTTCTACAGCTACCATGAAATTAATTCTTTGAATTGAAAGGATTAAAACTAACATAATTAGGAATAATACGTTTACATTATTTAACATAACATGCGTGAATGAAAATATGCTGTGTAAATATATATATATATATATATACATATACAAATATATATATATATATATATATATATATATATATATATATATATATATATATATATATATATACATAAACAACACACATATATATACATACATATATATGTGTGTGTGTGTGAAAGAGAGAGAGAAAGAGAAAAGAAATTTGAATAAGAATCGTTTGTGACCCTTGGCGGCGTTTCTTCCTATGCCAGGCCTATATCGCCTCGTTGTGCCATTCATTCACACAAGCTCGGCAAGTGGTTACCCAACGGCTTTCCACTCTCTCTTGCCCTCGCTAGGTTCTGTAAGGGTTAAGTTTTCTACGTCATGCTTCGTCATTATATGTCTAAGATATTTCACCTGACTTTTTTTGATTCTGAGTAAATGCGTTTGTTTTGTTACCATCTTTAAAACTTCCTCGTTGCTGACTCGCTCCGTCCGTGGAATCCACAGTATCCTTCTGGAGAGCTACATTTCTGTTGCCTCTGAAATGAGTATCCAACATACCGTACCATAACAATTCAGAAATTCTTTCTTTTCTATATATATATATATATATATATATATTGGTTGGCTTCCAATATTTTAAGAAAGAGAGTAAAAATAACTTGGGCACTTTTTATTACGACGCTATATAATAATTACCGTTGTGTATTTATTTATTTATATCTTTCGTGTCCCGCTTCATCTAATTACATGGGACAACATTAATGATTTTTATAATTCTTTCAATAATATAACTGGAGTTTCTTTTAAATAAATTGCCATAAAATGGCGGAGCAATGATACTGTCTTTAAATGTTTGTCTACTCTATCATATATGGAACAAAGTATATTATAAATCCTTTAATGACTTGTGTATATCATATATGGCGCAAATTATCTAATCAGTCCTATAATGCCTATTTTATCATAATATAGATACGAGCTATATTTAATTTGCTGAGAATTTTTTTAAACTGTCTGTGGTATCTATGATACATTGATTAATCTTGACATTATATAGATCGATTTTTGCTAAATATCTTTTCATATTGAAAATTTTATTTGTTTTTACGACAAAGACGTCGACGACAAAGTCTATCTTAAGACCAGGTTGAAGCAAGATGGTCACTTAGTAGGCAAAGGCATCTGTGTGCCTCACAAGAAAGGCTTGAAAAAATAAGACTGCAGTCTAAGAAACGTAAGTTTGATGAAATGGATTAATTAAACGGGTCACTGGCCTCTATTTTAGTTGTATAATCTGGATCACTGCTTTATGGAATCTCTAAACATTATTTCACATTTCTTTCATTAAATCACAATATTTAAACATTCTACAAAATGGAGTAATTTTTGACGTTACGGCTACACTAGCAAACTCGTCGAATTTCAACTATCGTGGAATATATATATATATATATATATATATATATAAAAGAACGAAGAGTAAAATTTTCAGCGTTCAAAACATTAATTTAAAACAGAGCTCAATACAAAAGTAGAGCTGTATGTATTTATTTATTATGCAGTGTTACATTAGAACATGCACATACCAACTACAAAATTGTACGTCTTTTTTTCAACGTTAAAAATCTTTTTTTATCGTTTCATCAGGTGAGGAATCAGGATAAGTCGTATCGCGATTCCCCACCTGATGAAACGTTAAAAAAATTAACGTTGAAACAAGATGTACAATTTTGTAAATGTGCATGTTCTAATGTAATACTTCATAATATATATATATATATATATATATATATATATATATATATATATATATAAAGTTGCAAATTAAAAAATAATGTTTTATTTTATGAAAGTATTTATTTATTTATATATATATTTGATATTTCAAATTGTCCTCAATCTTTCATCAGAAATTTGTTACAAATAAATTAAAATTACTGTTTGTTAGCAAGTAGCGTCCTTCGCGTGACGCGGACGTCACGTGATATGGAACGTCACTGTTCGGATATTCCTAACTTAAATCTAACTGTCATAAATATTTTAAATGTCGTTCAAAATTTTTTTTTTAACTATATCTAAAAAAAATTGCTTAACTATTGAAATATTTATAAAGATATAAAACACCCGAGTCCCTATTCAACCCTAGTTTATGTGTATTTAATTTTAAAATCCAATATGTTTCTTTTTTTCTGCGTGTGTATGTGGAACTAAAATCGGAATCTATCAATAAACATTTGCAGTTTTCTAATGAGTGTCCTGATTGATTAAAGTGTTTAGCTATGGGGAATATATATATATATATATATATATATATATATATATATATATATATATATATATATATGTGGTTGCCTTCTAACTATGAAGCATGCCCATAAAAAACATCCTGCAAAGATTCACTGCTATGATTTTTGAGCCCGACCAATGATTTGCCATGTTTTCCACAGACTCATTCCTTAACCATGACCAGTAACAATATTTGATTGCAATGAATCTTCATATGCCTTTTCAAACCACCAATTGACCTGCATTCTTTGTCACATGTAGGGCATCTCTGATTGACATGGGCTGATGGTCAACTGCAGGTATGTTGTCATGATGCGTAAGGTGACTTTTCAGTCCGGCTCTGCTTAGATAGTGACGTGAGCATATATGGCAGGTTAGTTTAAGTGTATCTCATTTCTTTACTGGGAGCCCTTTACCGTACATTCCATTCCAACTTTTCGTTCGAAATGCGAGAAGATTCAAAAGCAGTTTTACCCTCCTTGACCGTCCTATGCCACTCACGACGTTCACCAGCATCACGTTCCAATGAGTCAGTTTGGATATCACACTCCTTCAAATATGTCTTGATGCTATACTTGAACCTTGAATATATATATATATATATATATATATATATATATATAGAGAGAGAGAGAGAGAGAGAGAGATAGATAGATAGATAGATAGATAGATAGATAGATAATATTAGTGGTGAATATACACATACATATGCAATCATATATCTAAAATATATAAATATATATACATACATACATACATACACATACATATATATATCTATAAAAAATAATTCCAAGAGGATAGAATCCAGGTAGAACTCAATGGCCAGGATATAGATATATGTATATGTATGGGTATGTGTGTACACGCCTATATGTATGTATGTATGTATGTATGTACGTGTAAATATAAATATGTTGTTGTGTATGTGTGTATACTTACGTCTTTTTGAATATAGAAATATAGGTCCTTGCTAGATTTGATAATCGTTATATTTTTTATGTTTATATTAGATTTGTAACCTGTAGTCGATATTACTTTTGTCAATTTTTTTTGATTACACAGCGGCCCCTTTTATGAATGCCCTTCGGTTTTAGTTCCCCCCCCACTCCATCTCTCTCCCCCCACTCATTTTTCTTTTCTTTTCCTCTCCCCCTCACATCTTCTGATCTTTAAGATTATATCGTCTATTGTGTGTGTATCTCACCACAAAATGTATCTTTTCCTGTATATCGTTAATGTATTAGACATCCGAGAATATTCATATTTCTCTCACTTAAACCGTCTTTGACTCCCCCCTTTAAAACTTCTCTCTGTTAAATTTTAATCCCCCACTTCTTTAGACCTTCCTGTTCGTCTCTCGTCTGTTAACCCTCCCTATAGCTTTCATTTACCCTAACATTCGTTCCACACTCTCATACATACACTCTCACTAAATTTTATTTTTTTATTCCCGGGGCTGTTTTTTCTGTTTTCTTTTTGAATTTGTAGGTCTGATGAATTGGATCGTATTTACGATTCCAATGGAATAAATTATGACCATGGAATATTAGTGTTTAAGCCTTTTTATTATATATATATATATATATATATATATATATATATATATATATATATATATATATATATATCGAATGTAATGAGAACGAAAATAATATATAAATTCTAACATTCACAGCATTAATTCAAAAGAGGGCTCAATACCGATAGTAGAGCAATGATTATTTATTATAATTTTTTCATATAGACAAAAACAATTTAATCATTACAAAAGACATGCGGCTTGCTTCCAAACAGAACTTTTCATAATCCTTTTGGTTCTCATCAGTCTAAATGTAATTAAATGCACTGAAACGAAGTTGCATCTTTGTAGTGAGTAATTTGTTTTTGTCTATATGAAAAATTATAATAAACAATACACACACACACACACACACATATATATATATATATACAATCATACGTGTATATATATATATATATATATATATATATATATATATAAATATATATATATATATATATGTGTGTGTGTGTGTGTAATTTCTTCTGTAAAACAAGTCCAAGAAATATAGACCTATTGAAAAATGAACTGAAAAATTTTTCAAAGTCCACGAGTGTTATACTGGGACACACCTGTTCTATTGTTAATAGACTATTCCACCTATAATAAGTAGGTGTAGTAGCAGTCGCTAAGTCGCTCAGTGAGTTTGTCTGAGTTCAGTCAGAAGTCGGACGACCAGCTGACCGGTTGAACTCTCTGCCTTCGGGCGGGGAGGAACCCGAACGAGGCTACGCCGAAAGGCGGAGTCTCTTTCGGGGAGGTAAACCGAACCTGAACCCGTTTATACGGGTTCAAAGGGCATATTTTTGGCCGAGCCCACAGGCTCGGAGATCCTACAGGCTCGGAGATCCCACTTTAAACTGGCCTTGTGCCACATGATGCCCTCGTGGGAGGGGGGTGACTAAATACTCTCAGTGAGTTGGTCAGTCAGTCGATGTCGGACGACCGTTAGTCGGATATTAAAGTATCAGCCACCACAACTAGATTGCTGCGTCATTACCTATTATATCAAGTTCCTAATGTTTTGTACGTCGAACCTATTTTAGGACCGACTTAGTACAACTACAAGCCTCCACTGTGAAACTACTCTAAAACAACGAGCTAAATATTGCCATTACCACAAATGCTAAAGTGATCATATTTCTCGATGTGACCTTGGACTTGAATAAAGGTTATTACAAAGTATATATCAAAGATCTATCTAACCATAGGTAGACCAGTAAACAATCAAACCACCATCATAAAATTCTTGATAATCTACAGAAATCAATCAGATTATCTACTAACTCTAGCAATAAGGAAATATTTGATAATTGTAAAATTAAATATATGAAAGCTTTAGAAATAAAGAACCATAGAGTAAATTTATAGTATTTAAAAAAAAGAAGGTAAAAGTGAAGAGAAACACCGTAAGCGTAAAATCATATGATTTAATCAACGTTTTAATCGTAATATTCAAACTAATATCGGAGGAATTTTCCTAACTTTAATTAGTAATCACTTTAACCATTCACCAATATTAAAAAAAAACAACATTTTTAACAAAAGTTATGTTAACATGCAATCCCAGTATATTCTAAAACGCGCCAGCATTGCCATAACCAGATATTTTCTTATTAAAATTTAAATTACATAATGGTTACCTAAATATTGCGTTGTGCATGAAACTCTCAGTCCTGCTATCCGTGAATGATACGTGTATTTATTAATACACACACACACACACACACACACACATATATATATATATATATATATATATATAAATAGGTTAGAAACGGTACAAAAGCGTATTAAGGCATTAAAAACTAGAAATGTTGTATTGCAGGCCATGATAAGTTTAAAATAAAACACACACCAGTCGACCGGTTTCGTCCCTCTCGTCAGAACTGTTAACGGGGAATTTAGATTATGAGGAAAAAAAAAAAAAAAGTCTGTCATGGGTGACATGAATGAATGGACAGGGAAGGAAGGAAAGATAAAATTATACCAACCAAGCTGCTAGAAGCGCAGAACAGCAAGTCCAAGCAAACAATCTCTTTGTTTGCAAAAGAGAAGGCCGCTTGGACCTGATGTAAAGCGATTCCAACACCTTGAGATGGAAAAGTGAGTGCGAACTGGCCAAGACGGAAAACCAGTTCACACTGAAATCCATCGCACAAGTTGGATTCTTTATAAAATGATCCGCAATCGAAGACCCATAAGTGTTACAGAATGGTATCGCCCAAAGAAAATTTTTTGTTTAGTATTATCGCAGGTACGTGTTGTTTAATTCTCACGTCCAACCGCTGTGTCGTTCTACCTATGTAGTCGCATCCACAACTACATTTGAAATAGTAAATAACAGAGTTAATATGGTGGGGGGGTAGAACATCTTTACACATAGATGGAAGTACAGACCTAGTTTGAAAAACAACACGAACATTCGCTGCAAAATAACACTCACGTGAACTACATGAAATACGCTTGGCGAAGGATTCACTAATCCTACCCAACCACGGTAAACGAAGATAGACCGGACATTTACCAACTGAAGCAGGTTTGATTTTGTTGAACCTAGCGGTCTCATCTCGAATAACCGATTGAACAATGTTCAACGGATAACCATTGTTCACAAAAGATCTCAGTTAAACAACTGATTTCATGTTTCAAGGTGTCATCCGAACAGATCATTAACGCCCTATGTGTCAGGGTCCTAATCAAATTAATCTTTTGTTGTTTAGGACAAAAGGAGTCCCCAACAGGTATATAGTCCTGTAAAAGTAGACTTCCTGTACACAGAGGTAATAAACAAGGAAGGAGTTCTTTGAACAAGAACATCTAAAAAGGGCAATGAACCATTGACCTCCTTATCTACTGTAAATTTAAGGGCAGGATGAACACCATTGAGTAGGGAAAAAATTGATCCACTTCCGATTCATGGCTGAACACACAAAAAGTGTCATCAACATACCGAAAGTAAACCTTGGGTCGGGCAGAACTTAACAAAAGGCTTTCTTCATAAAAACCACAAAAATATTTGCCAAAACAGGACCCAAAGGGGAACCCATCGCTACACCATCGATCTGACGATACATGATATTGTCGAAACTGAAATCGACAAACATAGTGGCAAATTTCATGAGTTCAACGAACACTTCTTCAGGTATATTCGGAGGAGTCAAATCACTGCGATATAACATATCGCTGCAAATATCAATAGTCTCCGATAAAGGAACACAAGTGAAGAGGCTACAGATGTCAAAGGAACACATAAATCCATCAGTGGCATCACAATTCCGAATGAATTTGGAAAAAGAAAATGAATCTTTAATACAAAAGGAACTGTAATGCTGCAACACTGGTTGCAACATTATAGCAAGCCACTTTGCGACTTTATGCTGTGAAGTCCATTCATTCATGTCACCCATGACAGACTTTTTTCTTTTTTCCTCATAATCTAAATTCCCCGTTAACAGTTCTGACGAGAGGGGACGAAACCGGTCGACTGGTGTGTGTTTTATTTTAAACTTATCATGGCCTGCAATACAACATTTCTAGTTTTTAATGCCTTAATATATATATATATATATACAAGTATAGGATTGGTGTATACGAAACAAATTCCAATAACCAACTATTCTTAAAAGAGTGCTCAATACAGAGTAGAGCAACTATAATCATTTATTCGAAAATTATAACATAGAAATGTTATAAAATCACTTCAGTTCCTTCTTTAAATAATTTTAAAATTTTAAACTTAATATAGATTAAATTTAAAATTTAAAATTGGTAATTTTGAATTTTGAAGTCCGTTGTCAAGTTTTTTGAATTCTCGTATACTTATATTTTGATTGGTCATTCCAGCTTATGTAACTGCGCTACCCCTAGCGAGGGGTGTTTGATTGATTTGAACCTTTAAAAACTCTTTATTCTGCATTCAACACCATCACTTGATAAGACACCAGAGGTGTTGAAACAAAGTGGCTATTTTTGTAGTGATTTTATAACATTTTATATTATAATTTTCGAATAAATGATTATATATATATATATATATATATATATATATATATATATATATATATATACACGTGTGTGTGTGTATGTGTGTGTGCCTCTCTCTCTCTGTGTCCCGCGCGCTCTCCCACTCACATTTTTCATGTTTTTTTGAAGCTTAGGGCCATATCACGTTGAAACATCGGTTCCCTTATGCTCACCGAAGTTAAGCAACATCGAGTCTGGTCAGTACCTAGACGGGTGACTGTATGAGAATACCAGGTGCTATAAGCGTGGATGTGCGGATGGTATAATGGCTCAGAATCGTAAATCGGAGAGCCGAGTTTCAATCGCAGTTGTGTTCGTTATATTCACTTACGCGCAAATACCCTTGGCGAAAGGCATGAATCAACCTCTCCACCCAGTTTTGGGGTAATTTGTAAGACTGAGCAGGACTGAGACTTTCATGCACAACGCAATATTCAGGTGACCATTATGGAATTAATATCACACAAACACACACATGTGTGTATGTGTGATATATATTAATATGTTTGTGTGTGTGTTAAGTGTATAATTATAAGTTTCGTTTGGAACTCATTCTCGCCAAGACATATTTTAAAATACCATCGTATATCATGACGAAACAATGCAGCAACGAGAAAATATCTATCTATCTATCTATCTATCTATCTATCTATCTATCTATCTATCTATCTATCTATCTATTAAATACTTGCTTCATTGTCTATACAGAGTTCTTTAACATTATATCCCTGTTCACACGAAGTGGAATAAACTAACCTTAAATCTCTATTGCCTTCCATAATGAAAAGCACCAAAACGCTTTTGAAAAGCGTCTAATTTTTTAAATTATGAGTGCATTTGTCGTATACATATTCATTTTTCAATTTGTAGAAGATTGTCATTTTCATCTGCTGTGTGATTTCAGCCGTGGGATATTATTATTTTAAACTGAAGCCTGTGTTTTCATATTTACGCCAATTCGAACTTACCTGTAAGTAGAGAAAACCTTTCAATGGCGCTTCCCTTGTGTATCAATGTTAGTAAGAAAGCGAAAGGGTTTTCCTTGTAAGCCTGCTACTGCGTATGGCTTCATTCATTTCTGTTAACAAAATTCCATTGACCAATGAGAACAGGTTCATGAGCGTCTATTCCTGAAGGTGGACAGCCAAGTCATTTGCTCCTGGGAAATATTTCATTATAAGTAAAAAAATATATTTAAGTATAAATTTTTCTTTTTAGGGCGCATAGTGAGGAAAGGGGGCTAAGAAAATCTGATACTCATGGGAAAGACTGAAACCTAGAGGGATAGAGGAAAACGGCGCATAAACTACTTAGTGAACTAAATGGATGGCAGAACAAGCTTTAGAAGAAATAAGAATAAAAATATTAAGAGCTAAAAAGGAAAGAAAGTTTTCGAGAGCCATGATTACCTATGTTTTGAAAAGACGCGGTATATGAAAAAGACTTATAACCTTTTTTTTATGGCATGTCACTTCGGAAGGTAGGTGCATATGATTCTCCACAGATTCCTCTTTTATTATCAACAATTCTTGGGGAAGATCGTAGAATGTTTTCTAGTTGCCTTCTCCACTGTTTAGAAATCAGCGTATTATTGTATTGGCTATGAAGTCAGCAGTCTTGGATGTCGATCTTCATGTTTAAATGTTGAATGACATTTATTAGTTTTAAACAACGGGACTTTATAAACACCTTAAATAGAGAAGATATTAAGGTTGTTGATATTTTCACCTAGGTCGGCAGCGAAATCGCTTCCATAGGAAGATGTAAAAAAAAAGTCACATCGAACTCGTTAAATAAATTGAATCTAGTCCAGAAATCAAATCTATTGGACGATTATAGCCTGTTTCGTGCCATTGCTTTTGTAAGGTGCAATGTCGTGATCTCTGGTTAAGAACTTTGAATCGAAGCTGGATGGGACATAGACTCACATGCTTAAAGTTATTCTGAAAATCTAAGAGAAAAAAAGATCCAACTATAAATATCAGCAATGTAAGAAATAATATGACAATGGCGAATGCGCTTTGATGGAAACTGCAAGCATGCCAATCAAGATCTAACTAGCGACTTGATGCTTCGGGCACCTAGGTACAGTAATAACATGTATCAACCAACTATATTCAAGCACTAGACACCTATCAGATGTCCTTAAGAATTTGATGATAGGATCGTGATAAGTGGCCTGCACGAGTCATCGGAGTATGAACAATGACAAAGTGGAAATGATTTCGTACGACGCGTTTCGTTCTTTAGGCCTTCATCGGCCTAAGTTGATGTTTATTTGATGTGATTACACAGGCACCTAAAGGAAAGAGGAAGCTGAGAATTTAATTTTTTTTAATATATATATATATATATATATATATATATATATATATATATTAAGGAGTGTGAAACCGATTTCTTTTAATTTTTTTTCATTTTATTTATGCTTCTATCACTTTTGTCACCTAGACGCAAATTTAGTGCGGATGATTTAGCCGTTAAAACAATTTCTAAACGTAAAAATAAACATCAATTTAGTCTGATGAAGTCCTAAAGGAAGAAAGGCATGAGACGAAATCTTCTTTTTTTTGAGTTTATCATAGTTTTTCCCTTAAAATTGTTCTTGTTATATAAAAAAATGTTTATATCATTTTCCCATAGAAACTATGTGTGATGGAATTCGAGGCTTGTAACATTCTGGTAAGAAAGAACTTATCATTGAGCCGAGGTCGCTTGCCATCCTAGAAACAAAAGATAACAAATAGATGCCAAGGCCAAAAAATGTGTTTGAATTTCAATGACCATCCTAAATAGAACGTCTATGATAAACATATCACATAGACTAGAGATAAAAAAAATCAAAAGAAAAAGGATTACCAAATAACAAAAATCACATCAGTTGAATACTTTCAACAGCAACATCAATAAAAACGTGTAACACATCGAAGAAGAGAAAAAAAAATGATATATCAAGATTATAACTTTCCACATTAGCCAAAACATAATGTTTGGTAGTAAACTCCCATCAGTATTAGAAAGAACTATAATATTTAGTGGAATTGGGAAGTATATTTTTCTATCAAGATTATAACTGTCCACATTAGCCAAAACAATAATGTTTGGTAGTAAACTCCATATTAGCAAAACAATAATGTAAAACTCCCATCAGTATTAGAAAGAACTATAACATTTAGTGGAATTGGGAAGTATATTTTTCTATCAAGATTATAACTTTCCATATTAGCCAAAACAATAATGTTTGGTAGTAAACTCCATCAGTATTAGAAAGAACTATAATATTTAGTTTGGGAGTATATTTTCTATCAAGATTATAACTTTCCATATTAGCCAAAACAATAATGTTTGGTAGTAAACTCCCCATCAGTATTAGAAAAGAACTATAATATTTATGGAATTGGGAAGTATATTTTTCTATCAAGATTATAACTGTCCATATTAGCCAAAACAATAATGTTTGTAGTAAACTCCATCAGTAAGAAAGAACTATAATATTTAGTGGAATTGGGAGTATATTTTTCATCAAGTATTAACTTTCCATATTAGAAAAACAATAATGTTTGGTAACTATCAATATTTTTAGTGGAATTGGGAAGTATATTTTTTCTATCAAGATTATAACTTTCCATATTAGCCAAAACAATAATGTTTGGTAGTAAACTCCCATCAGTATTAGAAAAGAACTATAATATTTAGTGGAATTGGGAAGTATATTTTTCTATCAAGATTATAACTTTCCACATTAGCCAAAACAATAATGTTTGGTAGTAAACTCCCATCAGTATTAGAAAGAACTATAATATTTAGTGGAATTGGGAAGTATATTTTTCTATCAAGATTATAACTTTCCATATTAGCCAAAACAATAATGTTTGGTAGTAAACTCCCAGTATTAGAAAGAACTATAATATTTAGTGGAATTGGGAAGTATATTTTCTATCAAGATTATTCCATATTAGTGTTTGAAAACTCCCATCAGTATTAGAAAGAACTATAATATTTAGTGGAATTGGGAAGTATATTTTTCTATCAAGATTATAACTTTCCATATTAGCCAAAACAATAATGTTTGGTAGTAAACTCCCATCAGTATTAGAACAAACTATAATATTTAGTGGAATTGGGAGTATATTTTTCTATCAAGATTATAACTTCCATTTAGCCAAAACAATAATGTTTGAAAACTCCCATCAGTATTAGAAAGAACTATAATATTTAGTGGAATTGGGATTTTTTTTTCTATCAAGATTATAACTTTCCATATTAGCCAAAACAATAATGTTTGGTAATCAGTATTAGAAAGAACTATAATATTTATGAATTTGTATATTTTTCTATCAAGATTATAAACTAATGTTTGGTAGTAAACCCCATCAGTATTAGAAAGAACTATAATATTTAGTGGAATTGGGAAGATATTTTTCTATCAAGATTATAACTTTCCACATTAGCCAAAACAATAATGTTTGGTAGTAAACTCCCATCAGTATTAGAAAGAACTATAATATTTAGTGGAATTGGGAAGTATATTTTCTATCAAGATTATAACTTTCCACATTAGCCAAAACAATAATGTTTGGTAGTAAACTCCCATCAGTATTAGAAAAGAACTATAATATTTAGTGGAATTGGGAAGTATATTTTTCTATCAAGATTATAACTTTCCATCCAAAACAATAATGTTTGGTAGTAAACTCCCATCAGTATTAAAAGAACTATAATATTTAGTGGAATTGGGAAGTATATTTTTCTATCAAGATTATAACTTTCCATATTAGCCAAAACAATAATAAAAACTCCCATCAGTATTAGAACAACTATAATATTTAGTGGAATTGGGAAGTATATTTTTTCTATCAAGATTATAACTTTCCACATTAGCCAAAACAATAATGTTTGGTAGTAAACTCCCATCAGTATTAGAAAGAACTATAATATTTAGTGGAATTGGAAGTATATTTTTCTATCAAGATTATAACTTTCCATATTAGCCAAAACAATAATGTTTGGTAGTAAACTCCCATCAGTATTAGAAAGAACTATAATATTTAGTGGAATTGGGAAGTATATTTTTCTATCAAGATTATAACTTTCCATATTAGCCAAAACAATAATGTTTGGTAGTAAACTCCCATCAGTATTAAAAAGAACTATAATATTTAGTGGAATTGGGAAGTATATTTTTCTATCAAGATTATAACTTTCCATATTAGCCAAAACAATAATGTTTGGTAGTAAACTCCCATCAGTATTAAAAAGAACTATAATATTTAGTGGGGAAAAGAACTATAATATTTAGAATTGGGAAGTATATTTTTTCCCATCAAGATTATAACTTTCCATATTAGCCAAAAACAATAATGTTTGGTAGTAAACTCCATCAGTCATAATATTTAGTGGAATTAAGAATTTTCTATCAAGATTACTATCCATATTTAATGTTTGGTAGTAAACTCCCATTTTTATAATATTTAGTGGAATTAGGAAGTATATTTTTCTATCAAGATTATAACTTTCCATATTAGCCAAAACAATAATGTTTGGTAGTAAACTCCCATCAGTATTAGAAAGAACTATAATATTTAGTGGAATTGGGAAATATTTTTTCTATCAAGATTATAACTTTCCAAAAACAATAATGTTTGGTAGTAAACTCCCATCAGTATTAGAAAGAACTATAATATTTAGTGGAATTGGGAAGTATATTTTTCTATCAAG